TACTTATCAAATCGAGTAATATTCAGTCATCTGCTTTATTAGATGAGACACATTAACTGGCCTAATTCACATTAAAAAGTTGTCAATATACAGCTTTTAATTTTGCTAGTGTAGTAAACATGACAAACCCTAATTGTGGTCATATTTCTATGACTATAATGGTGCTTTTTACAGGCACAGTGTATTTTGGATGGGAAGAGAAGCCACACATCCCTGTAAGGTACTATTCTATCAAGAGAATTAGTGTTAACACTAAGGTGTCTTTAAGAAAATGAGACATGAGGGGGAAAAGTCGTACATTTAATCTGAAAAATGAAGAATATAAAAGCTGAGCCTAAAAAAATTCCAAGTGAGAAAGTTATGATTCAGGGAATGCAGGTACCTTCCTCCCACTGAAGGGATCCAAAGAAAATGTCATTCAGCCATCACTGATTCTGGCCAAGATACTGGGAAGATGATACAGGAAAAGACAACAGCAATTTTAGCTGAGTTTTACCTTAAGAGATTTCAAGCTCATTGAATAGCACGTAGATTTCAGTTTACTCCAGTCCACAAGCAACTGAAGGTAGGCTATGTCTTATATGGTTAAAAAAAATAAATTAAAAATCCAGCTCCATGAACAAGAGCACTGTATTTTCTTTACTCCTCAGAAGTATTTATGAGAATTGAGATGGTCATATTTTTACTGGATTTCCAGGAAATTTGGCCCTTCACCTCAACAGCTGAAGGACTGTACTCAGTTATGTCTTGGTACAGAGTAAACAAATTCCTTTTGGTTATGACAGAGTGTGGCAGTGATTAGAAATCACTGTAACTGCTGCTTTTCCTTCCATGGCTCCTAATTTACATTAAAAGGGGCTTTGTGAGGCATATTTACTGTCCCAAGTACTCTGTTTTTTAGAAGATCTCTGAAGATACTCACAAATGTGTCCAGAGCAGACAAATGTGTGAGGGGCAGACTCACTGTGCCCTGTGTCAAAACCGTCCCTGCAGTAACCACACCTTGTCAGAGGCTGATGAGGATGAATTGCAACCTAAATGTTACTCACACTGTTCAGTCCTGAGGTAGGCTAAACCTTGGATAAGGAGATTAATGCTGCCAGACAAAAAAGGGAAAAATATTTCTTCTTTTCCCAAAGAATGCAATTTAGTTGTATACAAATTACTATCAAAGGAAAAGTTTTGTGGCATTTAAAAAATTATGTATTTGGACAAAGGATTTTTCATGTCTTTTCATCACAGAGTACACGGAGAGAATTTTCACAAGGAGGATGTGGTGTTTCACTGCATCTCAGAGGGAAAACCCCTCAACAATCAAGACCAGGGGATTTTAAAACTTGTGATATATTTTATTTATATACTTTTAATATTTGTGATGGACAGCAAGACTGATGAACTAATGGGGGTGGGGATGAAAGGAGCTTAGGAAGATTGAAGACTTGCCCAACACTTTCTTTCCCTGTTCACAAAATAGGCCTGAACTGTTCCAGAACAGCAAAAAGTAGTCAATAAAAAAAGACAACAAATTTCTTTTTATTTCACTGCTGATTGAAAGAAAATAGAAGAGAACCGATGTCTTTAATATTATCAGGGAAAAATGGAAACACTACAGTACAAAGACTAATATTAAACTACAACAAATATTTGGGAAGGAAAGGGAACCCCCCCCTGCACAGAACACCTATTTTAAAGCAGGGCATGTTGCAGTCTTTCCATGACTTTGCTGCTTCTGAAGACTTTTGTTGCTTTCTGAGGATCCCAGATCATTACATGAGACAGATTTCAAAATGAAGGCGCTCAGTTGCTCAAAAGTTTAATGAGAGCTGAAATTATTGCAACTGCAGCATGTGACTCAGAGCACAGCCCCTCCCAGTGCAGAGCAAACCTTGTGCTGATTACAGCTCAGCTTCCTCTCCACTCCGAGTCCACACTTGGTCACACACTCAAGTTATCACCATTTTGCAGATAAAGCAAATTTCAAAACCCTGAAAGCTCCAGAGGGTTGGTTTTTAACAGTAACTGCTTCACATCCTGAAGCTCCAAACAAAACAGCTTCAATAGAGTAAGAAAGCTCAAGGCTTTCTGCCAAGTTGTCCTTTCAAATCCAAAGGTTGATCTACCCCAAACTAATATTGAGGAAAGTGTGATCAGCCAGATGATCAGAGCACTTAATTCTCTGAGTGCAAATATCCTCTAGCATCACACCCACAAAAAGACCCCCATGAGCTCAGAAAATCTAATTTCTCAGTAATATCCAGCTCCTACTGATCCAGGGAGTTCTCAGTGCGAGATGGATGTGGCAGAGTATCACCCTGGCACTGGGAACATACACATAGGAACAGGAGGCACAGAAGTTCATATTTATCACTGAATGTACAGCACAAAAAGGACTTTGGGAACTCCCTAAAAGCTGCTGCCAGCTTTATATTCAAGAAGAATGCTAAGGTGTTCTAAAGGATAAGGTACCTGGAACATTGAAGCAGAATCAGGGGAGCTCACAAGTGGTGAAATCCCCAAGGAATCCTGGTCTGGCTCTGCAGCTGAAAACTCCAGAGGTTCTAATTTGTGACATCTCCCTGCAAGCCCCTGCTGAGAACATGTAAATGACAGCTCTTGAAATGGTCACAGTCCAGTCAGGATGGGTGGACTTTCCACAGGTAAACACAATATTCTTAAGAAATTACAACTCTGCAGCATATGGGTGAGACACACATCTGAGAGAATGGGATGTCAGAACCCCTCCACCCAAGAGATGGCCACATAATTTGGGGGTTTTTTTTGCTAACAAGGTTTATAAAAACAGTTGCTTAAATTTGCTCCAAACTTCCCCTCAAGAGGATCACCATAACGCTGGTGGAAAATTTTAGTCAGAGCACTTTTGTCAGCATGAGCAAAGTCAGAACAGAACACTAAACCTACACATAAAACAGTACTAGGTTTACCTGCAGTGTGCACTGACTACTCCTGATTTAATACCAAAAAGACTTCCTGTATGAAAATACATTTTAAAAAAATCTAGTTTCACATTCATTTATCTAAGGATAACACATTAATTTTAATTTAATTACAAGATATTCAATGTATTCACAAAAAGCTTTGTGATTGTGATGAATTACACAATCTCTTCTGTAGGTATGTACAGCCTACCTACCTCTTACTTCCACTGGGAGTCCAACTACAAAAAAAAAAGGAAGAGCTACTAAAGCAATTGCTATTTAATTATTAAGATGAGCTTACTCAGTACACACACACTCCACACTCCACAATTATTTCCTGTCTAATAGTAACTCCTTGAAGTTTTTCTTCTGTTTATTTACACGAGCCTCATCCAATCTGAACATAACTTCAGCTTGGAATTTACAGAGGATTTATAGCAAAGTTCTTTCTGATAGCTGTGACCAGGTAAAACATCTTCCACAACTTTCTGCACAGCCCACCACTGAGGATTTCCCCACCTGACTGTGAAACGTGCTTCATCCTTCTGATGTATAATCCAGACCAAGAGTGCTCGGAGCAGCAAGCCACACTTTGTTTACAGAACCACAGAGTGGGTCAGGCTGGAAGGGACCACCATGGATCATCTGCTCCCACCTCCCTGCTCCAGCAGGGTCATCCCAGAGCACACGGCACAGGATTGTGTCCAGATTGTTATTATGTTCTGGAATATCTCCAGTGAGGGAGACTCCACAGCCTCTCTGGACAACCTGTCCAGTGCTCGGTCATTGCACAGCAAAGTTCTTATGTTGAGGCGGAATGTCTGTGCATCGGGTCCCAGCACTGCCGGGCACCACCGAGCAGAGCCCGGTCCATCCTCCCCTTTCTAGACTGACAGACATTGATGAGGTTTGGTACCTGCCTGCACTGACACGCGGGGACCTCGCTGGGGGAGATGAAACGCGTCTCCCTTCCAGAGACCCCGGGGAGGAGCCGTGGCACCCCCGAGTCACGGCCCTCCCGGCGCCTCTCTCTTGTTCTAGAGCTCGGATGGCAGCGGGAGCAGAGCCCGGAGCCGCCGGCGGAGGAGGGGGAAGCGCCGGCCCGCCGGTCGCTCACACCCCTCGGGCGGCCGCTCCTTCTCGCCACGGGTGCCTGATATCCCTCACAGCACCGGTGCCTGGTCTCCCTCACACCACCGGTCCCCAGCGTCCCTCACATCACCGGTCCCTCACGCCCTGCGGCGGCCGGACCCTCGCGGCCCTCACGCCCCGCTGCAGCGGGTAACGGGCTCCTGAGGCGCCGCAGCCCCAAGAAGCCGGAGAGCGGCGCGCCTCTTCCCGCTCCCCCCTCTCGCTCCCGACCCGCCTCTCCCCGCCTTCCTTCCTTCCTTCCATCCATCCATCCTTCCTTCCTTCCATCGCTGCCGGCCGCGCTCATGCGCCCTGAGCGCTTCCCCCGCGCCTCCCCCTCGGGGCTCGGGCCCGGGCGGGGCGGGCGATGTGGCGGCGGCGGCCGCGGGCACCTCCCGCCCGCTCCGGGCGCCTGCGCCGCGCCCCGCCAAGGACGGGGGGAAGAGTTTCGTAACCGGCGCATGCGCGCCGGAGCCGCATCCCCGCTCGGTGGAGGAAGGGGGTGGGGGGGGAGAAGGAGGAAAGAGGAAAAAAAAAAAAAAAAAGGGAAAAAAAAAACCACCTCAGAGTTACGTCAGGAAAAGACGGATTTGTGCGCGGGGAGACCCGCGCGGCGCGGGCAGCCCCCGGGACGGGCGCGACACGCGGGCGCTACTCACCCTGTCCGCCGCCCCCCCCTGCTCGCCCCCCTCGGCGCCGCCGCTCAGGGCTCAGCCCGCGCTGCCGCCGCCGCCGCCGTGATTCCATCCATCTTGAATTTGACGTCATCCCACAACCGAGGGATGAGGTCATCGCGGGGAGCGCTCGTCACGTGCGCGGCGCCGCGATTGGCCGGGCCGGGGGGGAGCGGGGGGCGAGGGGGCGGCGCGGCGGGGGGGGGGGACGGCGGGGGGAACGGGGAAACGGAGCGGGGACGGCAGCGGGGATCCCCCGACCCGACCGACAGACAGACCGACCGACCGCCTGCCCGGCCGGCCGCCTTCCAGCGCGGGCAGCACCGCCCGCAGCGCCACGGCCGCCGCCCTCAGCCCGCCCCGCCGCAGGGAAACTGAGGCAGCAACAGCCGGTGCCGCGCGGGTGGGGGTGGCCCGGCACGGGGGGGATACACACACACACACGGAGGGGACAGACACACACACACGGAGGGGACAGACACACACACACGGAGGGGACACACACACGGAGGGTCCGTGTAGCGGGGACAGAGGGGTTCGGGAGGTGCCGCTCTGGTAACCCGCACCCTCCAACGCCCCCCCCCGGGCTGTGTGCTGTGGGTGTGAGGGGACCCCGCGTGCCGCGTTAGTGCGCGATTCACCGACATTTGTACTTGTTTCGTCGTGAGGTTTTATTGTGGTGATTGTTATTATTATTGTTGTTATTATTATTGGGGTTTTTTAGGTGTAGGGGTTAGGCCCAATGCGGTCTGTGAAGAAGCACCGTGCCTTGTGCCACCCACTGTGTCCCTCACAAGCCATCCCCCAACCCCTCACATTTCTGTCCCCCTCAGAAGCCACCACTGTGTGACATCAAAAGTCACTGACTCCCCCAAGCCACCAATATCCCATTCACTACCCACAGAACCCCTCCCAAGCCACCCAGTGTCCCTCAAAAACCACCCACTGTCCCCCTCAAAAGCCACCCCTGTCCCCATCAAAAGCCACCCTCAGACCCCTCAAAAGCCACCCCTGTCCCCATCAAAAGCCACCCTCAGACCCCTCAAAAGCCACTCCTGGCCCCCTCAAAAGCCGCCCATTGTTCCCATCAAAAGCCACCCACTGTTCCCCTCAAAAGCCACTCTCCAACCCCTCAAAAGCCACCACCACCCCACTCACAAGCCACCCACAGTCCCTCAAAGGCCACCACCGTCCCCCTCCCAAGCCAGCCCACCACCCTCTGTTGCCACCACGGACACACATGCCCAGATCCTGGTGGGTTTTGGCTCAGCCCCTTTGTAACTGCTGATTTGAAAAAAAATCATAATGGCCATTATCATTGCTTTAGGCTGGCTTCTCATTGTGATTATCCGCTTTGAATTAAATACCTGAATAGGGCTTTATGTGTCAAAATGCAAGTATTAAAATAGAAATTAAGAATTACAAGATTCCTCTTGTTTTTGTCGAAGGCTAATCTGGCGCTTTATCTTTTCATTAAGGACAGCTCTAGAGATTAGCATCTAATCCCATACATGTTTTCAGTGTGCTTTCAGATATCCCACCTAAATCACAAATACTCTGAAGCAGCTGTAGAATCCCTGGAATGTTTTTAGGGATGAGTTTAAGCCTTTTTTGCCAAGGTTTTGTTGCAAATGGGCTAAAACCCACATAAGGAAAGGAGATGTACCTTACTGGCTCTGGCTCCTTTTCCCCCTCTCCAGATCTTGGGGGTTTGTTTTGTCATTGCTGGCTCTTTTGGTAGCTTTGGAAACTGGGGAAGCTACTTGTGAAAGGAGTGGGGTTTTTTTCACTCAGGGACTCGTGCCCTGATGCGAATGTGGCTTTGTGAGCCAGCACAAAACCCCAGCAAAGCTCTTTGGAAGAGTTCCCTGCTCTGGTTTGCTGTGCAGACAACTGCTCTGGCACGGGGGCTGCTGTGGTGATGGGAACAAACAACTGGGAAAGCACTTGCATCTGTTCCCATAAACCAGTTTGTGCAGTGAGGCTGGCTGTGCTGCCAGGGGAGGACTTGGGGAGCTAACCTGAGCTTTCTTCTTTTTTTTATTTTCTTTTTTTTTTTTTTTCCTCATGTGTACTAAGTTACTTCTCAGCCAAGCAGAAACTCGTTGGTCTTGCATAATTTCTTAACTGTGCTTCTCCGAAAGGGCCTGTGGCACAGATGGAGGATTCTGTCCCAGAATTACCCTGCTGAAAGGTGGTCTTACACATGTGTGTGTGTCTTGCTGTGCAGGTATTTATTACCAGTTTTTTTTTAATTTTTCAGGTTCCCCAGTGAAAGTGCAGCCAGTGGAACAGAGCCCATGCAGTGCCTTGTATAATTCTGTTGGAGAGAGTCCAGAAGAGGCCACGAAATTGATAAGAGCACTGGGGCACCTCCCCTAGAGAGACAGGCTGGGAAAATTGGGTGTTCATCCTGCAGAAGGTTGTGTGGAAACCTCAAAACACCTTTCAGAATCTGAAGAGACCTGCAAGGAAGCTGGAGAGGAGCTCTCTGTGAGGGAATGGAGTGACAGGACAGGGGGGAATGGGTACAAACTGGAAAAGGGGAAATTTAGGTTAGATATTGAGAAATTTTTCACTTTGAGCATGGTGAGGCCTTGGCACAGGGTGCCCAGAGCAGCTGTGGCTGCCCCTGGATCCCTGGCAGTACCCAAGGCCAGGTTGGACATTGGGGTTGGAGCAGCCTGGGGCAGTGGGAGGTGTCCCTGCCATGGCAGGGGGGTGGAATGAGATGATCTTCCAACCCTTAATGTTCTGTGATTCTATAATTTTGTCATTCTTACAAACACATGATTTGAGAAAATTCTAAATGCAATCCTCCAAGATTCTGTGATTCAAAAAGACATAATCTGGTTGTATTTCATGATTGAGTCTGATTGACTTGATGTTTTTAAAGTTTATGGTTGCTTTATATTCCTGTAAATCAGATTTTTCTTGATCCTAATAATATCTAGGGAAAGAATTCATTCTCTAGAATGATTGGGGGTTTAAGTTGTCTCTAAGTAGGTTAATTTTGTCAAATGTACCATTCCCAATTATTTGAATGTATTCTGGTTCTTCAAGATTAGCTTGTTTATGAATGTATTTTCCAACATTTCTAATTTTAGATGCTTTGATGGGGGGCTTAGTTTGATATATTTTTCATCTTTATGTATGGTTGCAGCTGTTATTACCAGGTGCATGTTTGTTAAGTATAAGGTTTGTTCTCCATTTGGAGTATCCAATAACTGCTCAGATTAACTTTGGATCATACTTGCCAACAAGCTTTATCACTGGAATTTTGTTAAAAACTGAGCCCCTGCAAAATGTAGAATGTAAAGAAACTTCAGAGAAAATAAAGGATGATTATACATGGACATTGTGAGCAAATAAACATGTAAAAGCTGAAACACTTGCACTGGTTGAAAGTATGAGAATTACTGGTTTTCATTGTGTAAATATTGCACTGAAAGGCAAAATTGTGTACTCTGAATAGTTCAGTGTTTTTGACACTAACATTTTCAATATAAAAATAGTTGAAATGAAGTCATATCCTGGACATAATTGTCTTTTTTTTTAGATCTGTAGTTTCAGCTCTTTTGCATGTTGAGATCCTAGAATTTTCTTCAATAAAGATTTGGACCTTATGAGATTAATTTAAATCTAATGACATCAGGTTCTTTTCCTGCAGAGAACCCAGAAGTAGCTCAGATACCCTGAGGCACTCCTCTGTTAGCAGCTGGGAAAGAGTTTTGCAGAGAGGAGTTTGGTTTTGAGGGATGAGAGAGGATAAGGACAGAAGAAGCTGCTTCATTTCCATGGGGGAACCTTGACTACATGGAGGTGCTAACATTTTTCATCTTGGTAAGTTTTCTTTGAGTCTTCTGTCCATGTGGAGAGACCTGTTCTGTACTTTGGTGGCTTTGGGAGTGTCCTGCTGGAGCACCTTGGCAATGGGGCTTCTCCAGCTCCAACTCCTCCTCTAACCAATGGAAAAGTGGAAATGCAAAAGCCCAGGCACAGGGGTTTGTCTCTTGTTTCTCACCAAATCCTCTGGAACTGATTGTTGCCAAGGACATATTGCAGAGGGAGATGGTTAATCTCTGAGAAACTGCCTTCTGTCTCTCTGCCCCTGAAAATCTTACAGTGGAGCAAATGCTGTGGCTGCTACCCCATTCCTTCAGACACCAGCCTCTATCCCAGAACTTCTGGGATGTGGAGCACAGTTACCTGGGATCACAGGACACACATGAATGAACCCATTCCTTTGAATGCAGATGTTCCTGGGAAACTCTCTTTATTGTTTCCAAATATTCTGCCAAAAGTTAATGACTTGCCAAAATGCAAACACAGAATCTTCCACCAGTTTCTCCTTGCTGACAGCTCTGCACTGTAAAGGGTGCCTGGATTTTTATTTATTTCTTCTCATGTGTTCAGATGACACTTCCTATAACAAATACTAGCAGGTAAAGTAAGGAATCTTACTTTTTCTAGTTAAAACCTGTCACTTATCTTGTCATGAAAGTAGAGACACTTCCAGTATTCAGAGGGAAAACCAGACTGTGAGATACACAATGTGAGCATTAAAAAAAAAAATTCTATTTCCATTACTGGTGTGATACAAGGCACACAGACAAGACTCTTCCTGAAGATGTAAATTTCTTACCAGGAAAATAACTATAATACAGAATAATGTAAAACTGCCTTCATTCCTGGTATTGCTTCTGAGTGCCAAGTCTTGAGCTTTTTTAGCTGTCAGCCTCATTCTTCTGCAAATAGCACAATCTAGTTAATATTTTCCACTTGGAGCCCACATGCAGCAGCTTGGACAGGTTCAGATAAATGGTGCCAGACAGTGGCAAGCTGGGTGGCAATATTAACCTGGAAAGCTGTTAAATTGCAAGAAACACATTCTTATTTAAAAAGGTGATTGTTCCACAGGTTGGACTATGATTCAGAGACAAATAAGCCACAGGTATTGGTGTGTGGTTTTTTTAAGTGGGCAGACAGTCATGGGTTACTATGATTAAAGCATAAAAAAGGCTTCATTTGCAGCTAGGAAGGGGTTGCAAACTCGTGGGTATTTCTAAAAAACACGTTGATGAAAAGCTGCAGGAGCAACTGAAATAGAAAATCTGTCACAGTGCAGCAGATACGGTGCAATTTTGTGTTAGCAGCTCTCCCAGCTCTGTGTAACTTCAGCTGGAGTTTGGTGTCTGAGCCTTCTAAAATTAAAATCCTGAGTATTCTGATTACAGTGGAAGTGTGTAAGAATATTAAAAAGTGGCTTTGGTTTCCTAGTTACAAGTGTGTTCATCCAGCTCATTGTGTATGTAAAGAAATTCGGGAAAAACCAAATTGAGAGATGGATGATATGGCAAGCATTTTCTATAATTCTGTCCAGACAATAAGTTCAAACAAGGAAAAGCAAGAAAAAATAATTTTCTGGTGCTTATTATTAAAAAAAAATAAATGGGACTTATGTTTTGGTTCATGTTTAACAAAGTTAATTTCCAGGAAGAACAAACGGAATGATAGTGCAAGATTTTGCTTTAGTACAGTAATTCTGTTAATGTCCTGATTTCCTGTAAATGTGGCTTTAGGGATCAAGTTTCTTGGCAGAAAGCAGCGTGGCTGTAGCCTCAGTTCTTGAGAAGGTTCATGTAAGTGAATCAGAGAGAGCACCAAAGAGCTATTAGGGCTCTGGTACACTGGAAAAGTGAGCTTGATGCTTTCACTCCTCAGTATCAGTCAGTTTGGCCTCAAATGACAACATTCTGGGGTCAGAGATTCCACAGAGATGGACAGCAATTTCCAGAATTTCAGCCAGTCCATTTGTGTTTGTGCTTGCTGAGATGCTACAAAAGCGTGGTGTATGTGGAGTAGATGATTTTTCTTTTCAGCAATTGTATCTAAGTGTTAAAGGTGATGTGTGGTAAGTTCTTATCAAGCAAAAAGTGCACAAGCTAGGAAGGAAAAGTATTGGCTTGCTGAAAAAATATGTTTTGATTTCTTTGTTTCATCAGATAGTGCCAGGGCGCTGTTGTGTCACTAATTTAATTTAATTTCTGATCTTAACAGGCTGGTTCTTAGATGACAATATGTATATTTCAAGGAGAATTTGCAATTTATAACAACTTCAGACTTATTCTTGTGCTTTTCTGTGCACTATAAAGACATACCCATGGTGTGAGATGAGGAATAGCACTTGCTTTCAGGTCATGAGCAGCAGTTCTGCCCTGTGACAGCTGAGGGACAGCTTTGCATTTCTATGGCCTGGGCACCCTGACTGATGTCATCTCCACATGGATTTATTCATTACTGAGGGGAAGGCTCAAGTGGCAGAGCAAAAATAGCCAAGATACAGAATTATTGATGTCTTTATATTCAGGCTACTGACTGAATTTATTGTCGATTCTGGACTGTAAAATTACATTCTATGCATGATGAATTCAGCCCCCAGAACAGAATGGGGATTTCTTTAGGAAGTGTTGCTTTTCAGTCCTGAAGGACAGAAGCAGTGCACTGGAAGAGGCCTTTTTGCTTGACCTGCTTTTCTGTCAGTTGAACACTCTTTCCCCCAGTTCCCTGTGGCAGTTCATTACTCAGGAGCCAGTGATAGATGGGCAAGAGAGAAGCTGATTGCCTCTCCAGAACCACCATCCTGCTGGGGACCAAACTGGCTGTAAATTGTTGGATTCCAGGGATTTGGGAGCTACATGTGCTTACACAGCTCTGTGTGTACGTTGAATTTTGAGTGCTGAATGTGAAGAGACACAATTGGTCCGTGCCATTACACAGTTGGCTTCCCCTCTCTCAATTATAAAAATGACATCTCTCCAATGTCTTTCTCTTAGTTATGTACACAGAGGTCATAGATCTGGGTTATGTGTGACCACTACAACAAGAATATGTCCTGGAGAGCCACAGTACAAGGGTTTCTGTTTGAAAAGAACCCTGATGGTAAAATCCCACATGAGCTGCACTGGTTTTTTTCTTACAGCATCTTCCTTGGTGTGGTCATGGACCTTCTTGAGGGGAAAAAACCCACAAACTTTGAAAAAAAAAAGGTTTTAATGGGCAGAACTACCCAGATCTACTGAGAGCTAATCAAGTAATTGCACAAAGGATAAAGATACACAGGCAAATCTGGCTTTAAGCTTTTTTATTTTTATATTTTGTGATGTTTGTGTGTCTGAAGCATTATTGTCTGTATTTCACTAGCTGTGAGGGCTGATGACTCAGGACTAGGAAAAACTTATGTTGACATTTGGGCCTTAGGTTGAAATTGCCTTCAAGGTTATGCAGGTGTATTTTGGTGCTGGGCTAAAAGATTATGGCACTTACCTGGCCAATTAATGGCTAATTAATTAAAAGCACAGAAAATACCGAGAGTCTCCAAGTGGCATAGAAGAAGTCAGCTGGGGCATTTCAGTGTATGTGGCTGCTCTTTCTCCTCTTGAGGTCTCCTCCTATTTCCAGAGTAGCACAAAGTATCAGTAAAGTTGACTTTAAATACAAAAGGGAAGTTCCCTGTTGGAGAGGACATGGTGAAAATGCAAATTTCCCTTGGCATGTGGACGAGGAAGTGGGAAAAGGCAGAGGGTGTCATGCTGCAAGGATGGCATAGAGGGGAACTGCAGCTGGAACCTGACACACTCACAGGAGAGTTTAGCATTTTCCAGGCTAATCTACAGTAGTTGAGGAATCTGACCCCTGAAATCTTGTCAATGGACTTTCCAGCTACTGAAGGGACATATTTTTTCCCAGGAATCTGTAGAAATGTGTGATGTACAACAGAAATTCTCTCTTCTCCCCTCTGACAGGCTGCTCAGCTGCCTGGAAATGGGGTTTTCCTCCCTTAAGCAGGAGGGTTTTTTGCATTTAAATTAGGACTGTAAAAGTTCTGTGAATATGGAAAGTCTCTTCATTGGAAACTATTTCACCATTGCTTCCCAACTGCTGCAGACCTGAGAGCTGCTCTGGTCTCATTTTCTTTTTTAGGACTACACTGGAAGAGAGAAAGTGAGAGTGAGACCTTGTAATTCATGGTGTATTTGACATCCTGTTTTAAAAAAAGATGATTAACAGATTTTTGATTTATTTTATATCTTTAACTGGCTGTGTCACTCTTGAAGGCAGGCTGGCATGTGTGATAGTTTGGGTGTTGCCTGCCTTTTGTGTCTGAGACCTGCAGAAAGGCAGACCTGTCCATGTTAGCTTGTAAGAGAGAAATTCTCCACTGTACCTGCATAGAGCTGCAGTAACCAACGCTGTCTTACAGTTTCTGTTGGCCAAAAATTTTTGAGAGAATATGTCTGGAATTATTTTGCTGTAAAAGCTAAAATGACACACTTTGTTCCCTTGTATGTTTCATCATTCCCTCTATTTTAGGTCAGATGATTCATCTCTGCATTACTGGTTCTGCATTTCCATTGCCTTAATTGGGATTTCAGAGTCATTGCAGTCTGTATAGAATTGTCAATGCTATTTCTAACAACATACAGATTTCTTCCTTCCCTTTATTCCTCCTTTCCATGGCAGGG